ATACACATATACATATACACATATACATATACATATACACATATACATATACACATATACATACATATACATATACATACATATACATATACATACATATACATATATATATATATATATATACCTATGCTACATAATAGTGGTGAATGGTAAATGTCATAAATTTTACGACTCCAGAGAGTCAACAGCATCTTTTGCACGTGAAAGACAGTAAATAAGTCATGTAGAGAGGAAGTAATAAACTTTATGACTTCATTCTCTTCATGTTGAAGATATTAGCCTTTCCCGTATAAGAAGACATTATATTTTGGTAAAGAATGGCACAGCGTCATAAACTTTATATGACTGCTAGAATTAGTTTGGAAAGTCTCAGGTGTACAATAAATGTATTTTCACTTTATAGATATATTTAAAAATATATGTATTTCAATTGAAATAAAACGTGATTTAGAATAAAATGAATTTTGATGAACTGGAAATTGTATTGTACCTGGATATACACACAGTAGTCGTAAACATTTTTAATTAGCAATAATTCGAGAGGAGAGCAAACATATATTGGAAATCACTAATTTACGTACCTCATCATTGGTACGTAATATACAAATATGAATACCTGTAGTAGAGTTCGAGGAGAGTTTATAAAGTTCGAGGAGAGTTTATCTCACAATCAACAACCAAGTGAAGTATAAAAAAAAAAAAAAAAGTTTGCTGAATAGCTGCCTATAGTAAATACCAGTCAAATATGACACATAAATTATTAAAAAACAATAGTGAAAACTATATACAATAAAAGGACTTTCCAACGATATTAATATATTATCATTTTTACTTCCATTACAGATGCATTATAGTATTTTTTCCGAAAAAGACGAAGCTTGACACCAGATAGTTGACATGAAAATATTTATATGAAACCGATTAAGCTTGTACACAAAAACACGTGCCGCTCATGAAATAAATCGATTTAATACCAAAATTAAAAAAAAAAAACGTATTGAAACATAACCAATTTATTTAAAAAAAAAATGAATTCGTATTCAGAAATATCAAAATATTTATGCAAAAAATGCGGATTGTATAAGTCCGCAATGACGATATAGCGTGTTACCACCTAAAATCACGGAGAATTTGCTGTTTATCATTTCACCAAAATAGAAGAAATATATGTAATTTTGCATTCAGATTACGTAACCATTAAAACAAAATCATGCCGAGCTTGCTGAATGAAAATAAATGTAAACATTTATCAACATCTGATTTATTCCAGACGACTGCAGCAAGAGAATAAACGACTTAAAAAACAAGTACACCTTCGCAAATTGCAAGCATGTCAGAAAGTGTTGTTAAATCAAAATCTGATTGATCAGTACAATTTGCATTTGATTCAGGTGGGACGCAAACTCATATCTACTGTACATAGCATAATATAAATTTGATAAATCTTTGAATGGCATGCAACAAAAATTATATGATAAACTGAATTGAAGGGTTTTCCAGACATAAGAATATCACAACAGACTATATTCAGGCTATATACATAAAATTAAAAGACAAAAAAACTGAAAACAAACGAACCTTCATGAAGCCCGAAAGGGCTTGTTAAAAAATAGAGAGGGGCCTAGTGAAGCAAACACAATACTGTAAAGCCAAAATTTAAGATTAATTAAAAATAAGTCAATTTTATCCAACATATATTTGTTTCTATTGTACACAGTGTTACATATTCTGAAGGTATTATAAAACGAATGCTCAGTGTAAAAACAAAATTACACAATTTGGACAACATTTATATTTAATAAAATAAAATTTCCTTATTGCTTCAATCTTGTAATATAAAGACTATTTTTACCTGAATAATATTAATATTGTACGAAAAGTATATGTCTTGCTGAACCAATTAGTTCTTTGAGAATACTGTATTAACATTTCAGCTAATATAGCTCTATTAAAATAAGATCATCATCACCACCACTTTTCATAATGAAGGTTATCTGGGTTAAGTTTCAACTTCAGTAATTTTGCCTCCATATCTTCAATCATTGGGGGTGGTCCACATATATAACATTTCAATTTGTCAGCACCAAATTCGTTAACAACTCTTGCAAGATCCGATTCTTGTATTCGACCTGTAAAATCAAGACAGATTTTTTTTTCCAAGTTGCATTGAAAAATTGTGCTATGTGGCTTCATATTAATTTTTATATTAATATTCTGATTATTGCAACATAGGCTTTTATGTGGCTATATGCACTATACAAGAGTTCACAACTACTGAAAATTTGTATGTAAAATTACAATTAAGAAATTCTTGTTAACTAGTACACGTACATTAGATTTACTAGGTATTTGAAGATGGTCAATACTACAAATGCCAGAATATTTTTAATAATTATCAACTAGTGTAATTTTATAGTGTAATTTTAAATGCAGTGCACCCTCCAATTCGAGATCCCCTCAATTCCGCGATTACTTTTTCAAAGAACCAAATAACAATCTTCAATCTCCTCTTATTTGAGAGCGAACACCGAGACCACCCCAAATGCTCCGGTCTTAGAGGTGTTTTGAATTGGAGGGTGAACTACAATTGTCAGAATTTTCCTATCATTTTATTTATTTATTTTTTTTTTGAAAAATTGATTAATAATAGATTGAAACACACATAATATCTTTCATCCTAACCAGCTTGAGCAGGGCCTAGGCTAGCCCGACGTTCAACTGCAGCATCGCTAATGAACCGTCAATGCCAAACCAAGACAGTATATAGATACGGCCCAGGTGTTGATGCAAATATTGGAACAAGAGCTATGCGCCTACTTGATTATGGAATGTTATGGGGCGGAAGACTGTTCCAGTAAACACAGAGTATATTTTGTCATTCTTAACGCGTCCTCTACGAGACTCTACCAGACAGCACTAGTCGGTGGTCTCATGGCCTAATCGGAGATCTAAAGATACAATCTCTACTGTGCATCAATGGCGGCCCGCTGGATCTCAAAAAGAGAGATTCAATAAAAATATATAAATTTAATGGCAAATGGGATAAACCCATAAAAACAACGAGCAGCCACATAAATGCAAATAATGATAATATAAAGTTTAAACGGAACAGTAGAGAAAATCCGATCAAGAATGACAAAACAAACTAAATATCCACTGGAAAAAATCCCAATATCTGCAGACGGATCCGTTTCGGCCTTAGATAGATATATATATATATATATAAAACAAAAGAATATAGGAAACGAATACCATGTATAGACTTCAGAAACACTTTATTGGAGAAAATCAATATTTCGACCTATCCTCAGGTCTTTATCAAGGTACATGAAAAAACTAGCAAAAAGTGGACACACATAACCACTGTAGTGGGAGGAGTTAAAGAATAACAATGCGGATTATAATGACAGTAATTAAAATCGGGTAGGTCTATACATTGATAGTAATAAACAGTTTGTAATGAGAACGGAGATTAATAGTGGTTCCCACATTATGCCGACAGTATAATAAACAGACTATAGTATATTGACCAAAATTCCAAATAAAAACAGGAAATAGAGAAACATAGCAAACATTTAGGCCACAATGGACGCAAGTATGTAAAATAATAAATATATAATGTTAAGAACGAGGTAAATAAATAAAGTCGTCAAAATGAATCAATGTTATGAAAAAGTATAATAAAAATGAGTGTAGCATAGCTACATTAAGAAGGTAGGAAAAAAGTAAACAACACGTTATAATAAAACCCTTTGATATAAAAATACACGAATTCAAAAAAAAAAAAAAAAAAAAAAAAAAAAAAAAAAAGGTATGAGTGATCAAAAGCAAAAACCAAAAAATAACAATGAAAATCAAACAGCAGTCAGGATATGTCAAAAATAAACATGTTAAAATTATAAAATAAGGCATGGTGATCAAAAAGAAAGGAAAGAAAGATGTTAGTTGTGGCTGAATGTGTAATCGCTAATAATGCCAAGATCTTTGTTAAGGCCAAAGAGGTGAGTTTTGTATTTGAGAATATATTTGAGTTCATTAATTTTTCTGTCTGAATGAGACTTGAAATTACCGGCGATAATGGCAAATTTCATGTTGTTGATACTATGGTTAGGGGCATTGAAGTGCTCAGCAACAGGGAATCCGGGGAGATTTTTGCAGATGGAGGACTTGTGGTTATTAATTCTAGTACGAAATTAAGTGCTGGTCTCGCCTATATAATGAACAGTGGGGCAAATATTGCAGGTATTAAGTAAATAACATTAGAAGAATCGCAGTTGAAAGGAGGTGGATGTATGGTATGTTTGCTATTAGGAATTTCAATGTTGCTGTCAGTAATGAGTGAAGTGCATAACATACAACGAGGTTTATTGCATTTAAGGTTACCGTGGTTATGGTTATCATTAATATTAGAAGAAGAAAGAAGAGATTTAAGGTTGCTGGGTTGGCGATTGGCAAGGAGAGGGGGACAGTCAAATAAGGTGTTAGTGGATTCGTGCTGTTGAAGTATGGAGAAATCTTTCCTAATGGTGTTAATGAGAACGGACACTTGGGGATGAAAGTCAAAAACTAGAGGAATTCGGTCAGTAGTGGATTTGGGTCGGGGTGGCGAGAAGGTCTTAGCTTTGCTTTGGCTATTTGTGATTGGATGAGGGAGATAGGGTAACCGCTGTCAATAAAATATCCCATGAGTAGACCGACATTGGCGGTGTAATCGGCCTCATCTGAACAGATCCGTTTAAGGCGAATGCATTGGCTATAAATAATAGATTTCTTGAGACATGGGATGAGAGCTATAGAAATTAAGGTATGAGTGATTGTCAGTAGGTTTAGCGTAAACTGAAGTGGTGAGGTGACCATTTTGGATAGAGACGGATACATCGAGAAAAGGATGTTCTGGGATGAGTAGACAAGTGTGAATTTAATGTGAGGGTGAAATGTGTTAGCATGTCTTTCAAAAAGCAAAAGATTGTCAAGCCCATGGTTCCAGACGAAGAAAATATCGTCTATGTAACGGCGGGTTTAAATTGAAAAGCAGAGACAAGTTTCTCTTCCAGGAATGCCATGAAGATGTTGGCATACTGGGCGCCATCTTGGTACCCATGACTGTACCTTTAACTTGGAGAAAGTGCTCATTATTGAAAACAAAATTGTTATGGGTAAGTATGAAATGGGTAATGCTATTAATATCGTAGATATGTTCGGGTGGAAAATCGTGTTTGTGAAGAAAAGATGAAAGAGGATTCAAGCCTTCGTTGTGGGGGATGTTAGAGTAGAGGGACGAAACGTCCATAGTAACAAGAAGGGAATCTCCAGCAAGTTCAGGGATGGAGGATACAATATTAAGAAAATGAGTAGTGTCTTTAGTGAAACTGGGAATAGCGAGGATGAGAGGTTGAAGATTAGAATCAATGAAGCCGGATAAGTGCTCTGTCAGAGTACCAATGGCTGAAACTATGGCTAGATCAGCAGGGTTAGTGGGAATATCGGGAGAAGGATTAGGAGTACTGTTAAGTTCTTTGGCGATGAGTTTGGGCAATTTGTGCAGTTTAGGGATAGTGTAAAACAAACCTGGGGAAGGGTTAGTAGGAATAAGATCATGAACGGTCGATGGCGCAATAAAATTAAATTCGGAAGTGATTTTACAAAGTTCGGATTTAAAACATTCATTAGGGTCCTTATCAAGTTTCTTATAAAAATTATGGTCTGTAAGTTGAGAATTAGCTTCAATGATGTAGTCAGTTTTGTTCAGAATTGTGGTGGCTCCTCCTTTATCGGCTTTCCTGATGACGATATCCTTATCCGATTTGAGTGTGTGAATGGCGTTCCTTTCTTCTGGTGATAGGTTGTCATGTGAAGGTGATGCCTCTTGTTCGTTGATAAACTTGTTGAGGTGGTTTTTGGCTGTGTTGACGAATGAGTTGATGTATGGATTCCTACCTGAGGCCGGTACCCATTGGTTCTTAGCGCATGTATTTTTGCGAAGAGTTGGTCCATTTTTAGACTCGACTTGCTTGTCATGAAAGTATTCTTTCAGCTTGATATGTTTACAAAATTGATGTACATTACAGTTACAATGTCTTAACATTTTTTTTTAAACTTTGGAATATTGAAAAGTTACAAGTGAAACTTTTGTTTAGTTAGTAGGAAAAAAGAGAAATAAATATGTCGACAGACACCACAAAATGAGCTATGTTGGTAAAATTTTTAATTCTTTGTCCTCTATACATTTCTGATTCTGCATTTTGTTAGCTTTAAAATGATAGGAAACTTGTTAACATTGTAATTACCGTTCCAGAGATACGAGAAGAAAATGTAACAACAGTTTTCAGTTTCAGGAATGTGTGTATTGAGAAAAAGCCATCCAAAGTTTATAAACCGCAAATCTCACAGCTCTGCGCAACATGCATGCATTTCTCTTTAGCAACCATTAGCCTGGTTCTCATGAGAGCCCTAGGCTATGTTATCACACCGCAGCTAACGGTTAGCAGGATCCGGATCCTGCTAACCGTTAGCTGCCGTGCGTCCATACGACCAAGATCCCGATCCGCATACCAAGAATATGATGATCGAATCACTGGCCAATAAGAAACTGGAACCGAGCTGTGGGCTCCAAGCTGTGGGCATGATACAAGACAGTGGCTATGTTCTCACACAGCTGCTAACGGTTAGCATGATCCGGATCCTGCTAACCGTTAGCCGTGCGTCCATACGAGAAAATCCCGATCCGGATACCAAAAATATGATGATCGAATCACTGGCCAATAAGAAACTGGAAATTGTAAAAGCGGACGTGTGATTGGTTGATGATAAAAACGCGCTCAACTTGCTAACCGATAGCGCTTGCTGTCACGCACTACAAAACTTTGAGCGATCTGACGTCATCACAGTGAAGCACATGTTTGCCTATCCATGACCCCACGAAAAAATTAGGAGGCACGATCTAATGTTTACACGAAGAATGTGTTGTGTTTAGAAAAAAAATGTCAGACCGAAAATGCAGGTAAAAACAGTATAAAAGTATGAAACACACAATCCAGTTTGATTTTATTCACATTTTACTCATAATACAACATAAAGACATTAAATAATTTGCTTTCATTAAGAATAAAGTGTAATATGTTCACGGCGATCCTGTCAAGTCTACCACCACTGGTTCCACTAGGCCTAGGTAAGCCCTAGTACCAGCGTTGGCCTGGGTTAGCTTGGGATAGGGCCTAGTCCTAATTCACGTCGGCGATTTTTTCGTCAGCGTTGTGGCGGCTAGACGCCGCCGTTTACATCGGCACTGCCGAATACCGGCGCTAATTTTGAGGGCTGGTCTATGTGGCGGTGGGTGGGGGGTGGATGGAGCAGAATATTTTAAAGGCTTGTACATGGGGTCGGGGGGTGATAAATATGTGCTACTGAAAAATATATTGGTGCTATAAAATATTTTGCTGGAGTGCCACATAAATCTGGCAGATGTATGAATATTTATTTCACTAATATTCTTGTAAATTTAATACAATTACATGAAACAAACACATAATTGCTCCTCGTAAAACAAATACTGATTTTTATGGCACAGTAATCAGCCATAAAGTAGAAAATGAAACACAGTACCTTGGTGTAAGTTATATACTGCATTTGACTCTGCATTTTAAAACAATCATGCAAATAGAATACAGGTAGTTTGATTTGGTTTAAAAAATGATTACTGTAAAATTAATGTGGAGAAAAATTGTTCAATAATCTTCTCATTATAACCACTGATAAAGTGGTGAACATTACAAAATATTGCATTGCAAAACAATTTATGCACTAGGAATTGAATAGAACGATTTGCCAATTACATTAAAACATTGTAGAAAAAAAAATCTGCAATTCTCTCCATTATAATTACTGATTCAGTAGTGAAATTAATACTTATTATTCTGTATCTATATAATCTGTATTATTTACTTAAAGGTTTTGACAATGATTAAAAGATAAAATTAATTAAAATATTTATATATCTGTATTCGATAATGAAAATAAAAATGTATCAAAACAATACTACAATATTTACATCTTTATAATTTACAGCAAATATACTATAAATGAGTTGCAGTGCATTGCAAACATTTGTATAGATAGCACTTAAAAGTTAAGTAAATTATTACTTGACATTACACTTGACCATATTGCAAAACTATTTATTGGAAAATAAACACTGGCATAGAAGGTATACACCCAACATACAATTTACTCAAATAGACACAAAAAAAATAAATGCAAAGCATTATAATAATCACTGGTTTAACAGTTATTAGTAGCTTAAAACTGGATCTATTCCCTTCTAGCCCTTTTCGATGGACGAGCATTATCAATAACTCTCCTTTGCTGTTCAGGATCTTGACATACCTTGTCACAAGGCAAAATTCACTGTGTTGCATTTATACAACTGCTCGTCATAGGTCAGTCCGGGGGAGTCACAGACACAGGCAGGTTTGCTGGAGGCATATGGCTAATGTTTTTCAAAAGCTGATAGCTATGCTTGACACTGTATCTGCATACTCCTTATAGAATATAATTCCAGGATGCTCCCGCTAAATCTGAAATGATGATATTTCTTAATGCCGGGTAATGGCCTAAAATATGGTGCTAGAAACTCTTGCCAATCATATTGTTTGATGAACACATTTCTATCTTCATCTCCTACGAGTCTTGGGATGTTGACCCCCGATATGGAGCTGGTGTGCACCACATCCACCAAGTCATCCAAACTGCTACTATGAGTAATCCAACTCAGGTGATAATATGGTGTGGCCTGCGATAACAAAATAGGCCCAGTAAGAATACATCATCATGCAGGCCACGTAGACAGCGCCAACATAAATACCATAGCATATATTTTTTCTTGTTCTGGCGAGAACAATTGTCGCAATTAAGATTGCAGAATTTTTTACCTAAGCCGTAGTTGATGAAAAAATCTTGCATGTATGAAATTACAGCGTTTGATTCTTTTGACACGTTGTGGGTTTCATCAATCAATCAAATAATTGACTTGTCTTGACATTCCCTCAGCTGCAACTCCAAATATCCCACATTTTCATGCAGTGATGAAATATATCGGTCCGGGCTTTAATGCGAAGAGCCTTCCCTCCAACAGGCAGCATTGGCCCCTAGACTTTCCCCACGCAGAGTTTCTTTTACTTCTGCAACATTACAGCGATAAAATTCTCTTACCCTCTGAACTTGTTAGAGATGTTCAAGTTGTTGATTCAACCTAATAAAATAGGAAAACATTACTAGAAATTGCAAATTGCAAGTGAAGTGCTGCAAAGTAAAACTGCATAAATGTTCTTCGAACAAAATTATTTATGCGGGTCAAGTGAAAATAATGAATAATAAAAATATAACAAATAATATGAGACACGACCCACTGTCTATATTAGAACAGCGTTGGTACCGTGTACATTAGGCATTTTTCGTTTTGACTACGCGGCCAGTCTACTACGAACTAATGGACCGTGACGGCAACGCCAAGACTCTGTTTGCGTACTACACCAAGAGCTGTTTCGTTTTTTTAAGGCGACTACGACGACGCAGCACACGTACATAGGCCTAGGCCTACGGAGGGGAGTTAGTCGACCATGGTTTTATTACTAGAGAACAATGTTCCCTTGTTTTATATTTGTAAAAGGAAATGCGAGAAAAAACTTTCGTCAAATACTGTATACAAAATAAAAAGTTTCCAGAAAACACTGAGTGATGTTTCGCTGTTGGCTAGGATCAACCTAGGCCTAGGCTAGGGAGGCCTAGCTGTCAAAACAGTCGTTAACCAGGAGAAGAGGGGTGTCAGGCCTGCTCAGGCAATTTGCCAAATGCAACGATGATGTACAAATAAATAACAATTTTAAACAGAGGTACTCATCATATAGCAAGGCTTGATCCACGATATCAAGGGCGGATGCCCTAGCTAGCGGCACCAGATAATGTGTTTTCTCTTACCCGAAATCCACCCTGACAAGGCTAGGCTAGCCTAGCCTAGGCCTAAGGCATGTTTTTCACTAGATCCCCTGATTCACCTACTTTTATGTTGTGACTTCATTCCTCATTTATTGCATGTGTATAAATAGGCCTTCATAAAACATTTAATTACTCACTTGTTTTAATAATTAATTCATTATTAAACGAACAATGCTGACCGCGGATGCGATGAAAATTGCAACCCCAACAAAAAAGTTACCAGCAGTTTGCCAAACAATCCGGTGATCTGATTGGTCAATATTATGGTAGTCGCCACTACGCCAAATTCAGAAATTAGGGTTGTCGCGGAAGCTGTCACAACGCCGATTTTGCCAGTAAGGTTTGTGAGCATGCGCAGATGTCTGTTACGCTCTATTAGTCCGTAGTAGACTGGCCGCGTAGTCAAAACGAAAAATGCCTAATAGTGTTTTGCTGCAGTGACATCTCGCTGCTGGCGATGACTCGCTGCTGGCGAATCGATCTGTGCATGTGTATAAAATGGTATTTATTTCCGAAAACACTATGCCAGTCTACAACAAGCATCGCCTAAATGTATTAATTAGCACTTTGAAATAGGCTAGTAAATAATTTTAACTGGGTTCGTAAATAATATTGGCCTCAAAATATTGTGGCTGAGACATGTGCCGATTAAACGTAGAAATAGGAAACCTAGAAATATAGTAAAATCGCTGAATAGTACTCCAGCGTCGGGACATGTGGACGTTGGTACGAGTAGGTTAGTCTACAAACGTCGCCTAAAGCAATTGATTTTACCCGACAGAACGAAAGAAGGAAACTCCGCTTTTCAGTTGTCTTAGGCGCAGGTTTTTTGACAAACAATGACATTTGCGAGGTCAAATTGCTGTCAAGAATATGAATTGGCTGCTTTGCAGCAATTAGCTGTATTTTTTATAACTACAGTAATTGCTTATATTTTTAAATAAATTAATATATCATCTGCATTGGCCACATTATAACCTAGAAATACCTCACACAAAGTGTTATGTTAATTAAAAACTTTTGATAGATGAAAATCTATTAAAACCAACCTTTCCTGTTTTTCTGCATCTGTTGTTTGCACTGTGGTACACTGAGGAGTTGTTTTTTTTTGACAGCGCCCAGGTCACTTTTTGGACGCGTTGTCATCACATAAGGGCAATACTCTTTCCATATCTTTACAAACGTTGTCCGTTTAGCAACCCGCAAAGGCCTGTGTCCTATTTTCAAAGAGAATTGGCCACATTATAACCTAGAAATACCTGACACAAAGTGTTAATTAAAATTTGCAAAAGAATAATTCAGTAACATAATTTGGAGAAATAATTCCAAGCTTGTTTATAACACAATAGGATTATCACTTCAATATTAATAACTACTTGCCAACTAAGACTCGACATCTGTTGACTTCTGTCATCTGTTTGTTGTAAACCCTGCAGCCTGATGCTTTAGACTCTGAAGATGGAAGGAGTCATACTCTTGGATCTTGCTGGCTCTGCATACCCGCTATTCTTCCAGGAACAACCAGACCATTCCGTTCTCCATATCTTTCTACAAACTGGACAATATGCTTGACATCTGAGCTAGTGAGAGCATTCTAGTTACATTTCCGTCCTTCAGACATCTTCTTCGGTGGGGTTGCACCATGAAGATTGAAGTGTTTGATAATCCCACTATTAAAGCTGATTATTGAATATACTAAAAAAAAATGAATACATCAGTTTAATATTTCTCTTCATGCATTTTCCTAAAGCTGGAGTCACACGGTCAGTTTTTGACTTCAAATATCCATACAGAGTAAAAATTATTAATGGGGTGTACCTAGATCGATTCCTAAGCCTGTGATTTTACTGCAACTTTTGCTTTAACCTGTGGTCCTCTTGGGTATCCACAGTGATGGAAAAAGAACTGGAAAGTATAGAACATGTTCTATTTGCCTTCAGATTTTTAGGAAATCTGTAAATCATCAGCCAATCACAGCATAGAAAGTATAGACCATTGGGAAATGGTAGGGACCTGCACAAGAATAGATCCAGTATCAGTATACCCTTATTTAGAATGTCCCTAAAATTTCTATGAGGTAACAAGTTATTTATAAAAAATTTTATAGTGTGGCTAGGGAAACTCAAGTGTCTACATGCTCCTGTAAAAACGAAAAACTAAACCAAAATTTCTGTACTATTTTAGTATTGATGAGTTAATTTATTGTAACTTACCAATGTATGTATTCAAATAACTGCCGATACACATTCTTTCCTTCAATTGTGATCTTTTCTTCCGTTTCTGGTATAATACACAATATTTTTTTTTTGTCTTTCTGGTCTTTGCGCTTACTTCACTCAGTCGTTTCACCTTGTCGTATAGAACCACTTACATGACCCACAACGAACATCTTCCTTTCAACGGTTTTCAATTCTGACAATTGCGCCCTGCATTCTGTGCAAAGGGTTGTCTTTATTTTTATTTTGAGCACAACGGCAACCTTTAAATTCTTCAATCTGCTGCAACTCAGGAGCATTATCTTGACTGTCCAATCTTCAACATTCTCTTTGTTATCTTCAGAACTAAAAAAAAAACAATAATGTTATGCATGTTTTAAGCACAACTTAAAATGTTGACATTAGAGAAAATAAGAACATTTGTAAAATTTGACACACACGCGAGAAGAAAATAAGAAAGTTTGTGACATTCGACTTGCGCGCAAGAATAAGAAAATTTAAACATTTGTAAAATTTGATGCACACATGAGTATATAACTTTAAGCCATATATGCGTTTGTCGTAGCAAAAAGAATGTGAAGAAAAGGTTGAGAAATGGCCATATATAGAGTATCAAATTGTTTGATGATACATAAATTTTTTATAATTTTCTATATTATTATTATTATGCTGTATATATCTTTTATATATATTATTATATATTTCCTAGCTTATAAGCTGTAGACAGTGGAGCTAGTCAGTGCCTACTTATGCTCTATATTTACAGATTATGTAGCCTGGGTAGGTCTAAGAGAGTGTGAGAAGCCCTGGCCTACACTACAAACCTGGGCAAGCACGGTAAATTTTGTTACTTACGGCGCAACTTCGGTGAGTATGGGCAGTCTCATCACATAGAGGTCGGTCCGAGTCACTATCATTATTTTCGTTATCATGAATGTCTTCGTCATCAAAATCGTCATCTCTGGCGCTGAAATATTCCGTAATCACATCTTTCAAAACCTCCGGGTCTGTTAAATTCAGGTCTAAGTCATTGCTGCTTACAGCATCTAAAATAGCGGTTTTGTTGCTATCAGCAGACCGTCCCGTCATTGATAATACAAAATTGCAGAAGATATAAGATATAATTTACACTATTTCAATATTTTACAAGAAAGTCGATCGTAATTTTGAATAAATCTTACTGGATTTCGCCATTACTGCACATCTACTCACTCAAATATTCACTCAACAGTAAACATGCTTAGATGCCACACTCTCCCGACAACTGTAAACAAAACTCTGCATGCCCTGTACGTCACATGCATTGAACTAACCAATTACAATAGGTGTTTGGCAGATTTGTTTACACTGCATGGTAACAAACCGTCTTAGAAAATAGCTCCTATTGAAGTATTTTTTTCTACTGAATTGTTTTAATGTTAACCTTTCAAAAGACATCCGGGGATTTCCATTGATACCAAGTACGATGACCTACCATGTGAAATGCTTATGTTATGTAGATTTTAAAATGGAGTTTGCAGCGAGGATTGAGCATCTTATGAGATTGATTTGAGAGATCTTTTGTGGTGAACAGGTGAAATCATACTTAGAAATGTTTTTATGGCTTGAAACTTTAGGATATGTTTATATACATATTAAGGAGTTGATTTTTAACAAAATTGAAAAAAACGATATCTACAGTAGGTCATTATTTCGAAATTTGGAATTCAAGGGCAAATATCTTAGTCCAGCCCGTTGCAACACATCGCTCATTTTGTGGTGACAGTCGACATTTTACGTACCCCTTGGTACCAAGGGGTGTTCGTAAATTGAAAAATTTGTAAACTAGTTTGAGCATCAGTTTCCAATACCTAGGCCTAGCTATCTCCTGCCATTGAGCTCCGATAGGATGATGGCGCCCAGGCCTAGCATGAACCGACAGTGCAGCAGCGTGGTCTATCGTGCATAGAGCCTGGCTGAATTTACCTTAGATAACAACCAAATTATTTTAATCCCTGGCATTCTTCCACTTAATAAAATGTTATTTTAACTCTAATTCAAACATATGTATGTTGGACCTTTCTATCGTGTTCTTTCTAGTAGATCGCCGCATTGTATTGTTTACATGCATTTTGCGATCACATCTAGCATTCACGATGTCAATAAGTTGGTGACACCAACACTCTTGTTCGTCATCGTAAACATGTGCGCACATTCCGATGACACTTGCGTTGGTAGTTTGTTGCCCTGATTAGGTTTACTACATTAAAATAGTGATTATTATACCAGAAATGCAAGAAAAGATTGAACTATTAATTAAATACAACATACTTGATTTTATAAATAAAAATATACATTATCACTTTATAAGACGTGCGCAATCGGACTTTTTTTACTGTAATTATTTGATCGGTGATGACGTTACAGGGGCAAAGACCATTCGTAAAATCGACTATTCGTAAAATAGATGTTTGTAAAATGAACATTTTACTCTATTGACTGCAAGGAGATCATAATAATTAGTTAATGGGCCTGTCAGGAAAAATTTGGTCCGGGGCAAAAAATCGGTCCGACGGACTGATTTTGGCCTCATAATTACTTGCCAAATGTAGTCCACATAAGCCAAAATCAGTCCGCTGAAATTTACTTTGCTGTACAAACGTCCGCAATAGGTTTTGGCAGAAAGAACAATTCCTAATCTTTTACAGACGCGCATATGCTTATCTAGCCAATCACAATGATGTCCCTAGCTGAAGCCTTAATTTGCATACATCACCCTATATAACAGTTTAAGATCGACATGTACTTGTGTTTAATTGATAGTAGAGCCTTCGCGGTTAGTGAACATTGGAATAACAATAAGGAAAAACTTAGCAATGTACACGGACATACATTACCTCACATTGAGAGAAAATTTAATTGCTGCGAAGAAGCCAATTCATATTCTTGACAGCAATTTGACCTCTGAAAGGTCATTGTTTGTCAAAAAACAAGGGCCTAAGACGACTGAAAAGCCGAGTTTCCTTCTTTCGTTCTGCCGCGTAAAATCAATTACTTTAGGCGCCGTACCAACGTCCGCATGTCGCGCTAGCCTTATCCTAATCTAGGCCTACTAGCTAGGATGGTATAGGCCTAGCCTTGAAGGGACGAAGGTCCCAATGAAAAACAACGTCGCTCCTTGATAGCTAACATTGTCTATTTAACATCACAATAATTCATTATTAGACCTATAGTTGTTTTTTGAATTGTACTCCACAAATCTCAGCCGATACCTCGCACAACTCGAGTAACGTCTCATATCTATTGTCGTGACATCATGACTCGCTGGCTCACACTTGCAATGTCTCGCACTTGTGATCAAATAACATGCTGGCTCACACTTTGGCAACACTCTTTGGCAGTCAACTCTCCCCTAGAAAACCCGCCCTTGGAAACTTGCCCCTTAAAAAAATGTACACTTCCTAGACCATGCAGTCTTCAAAATAAAAATTGTAACCTTTGGTAATAAACTACATTTTTCACATACATAGAAATTTTTGAAACTTTATTAAAAATTCACCACTATAGACACTTTTTGACAAAAATGAAAAATTACGACTTTGTTACGCAATGAGAAGTGTTCTAATATAAACAATGGGTCATGTCTCATTATTTGTTATATTTTTATTATTCATTATTTTCACTTGACTCACATAAATAATTTTGTTCGAAGAAATTTATATGCAGTTGTACTTCGCAGCACTTCACTTGCAATTTGCAATTTTCTAGTTTCATATTCATAACTCGTACCGCCTCCACGCCTCATATGGTAGAAAGAGAAGGTGGGTGGGTGAACGACGTGAAAGGGTTTATGAAATTTAAAATGTAGATTCCGCTACGCTAGCCACAGCACAGTGGTTTTTTAAACCACCAATCACAATTATGTCCATCGCAGAAGCCTGATTTACAGACATCACCCTATATAAGATTTTAAGATCATGATGTACAGTATTTGGCTTTTGTTGATAGCAGAGGCTTCGAGGGTTTTTTTTTCAGTGACAGGACCAACTACCATACCCCCTTCTAAATCCACTCCTCATATATTTGGTAGAAAGAGAAGGTCGGTGAACGTCGTGAAAGGGTTTTTAAAATTTAACATGTAGATTCCACTACCAGTATTTATGTTTAGTTGATAAAGCCTTCGCGGTTAGTGAACATTGGAATAACAGTAAGGAAAGACTAAGCTATGTACATTGATATATATTACCTGTAGTTGTTGCATTTTTAGTAGTGTTACAGTATATTTGCTATGAACAATTACACACATTGACATAAAATTTAATTTCATATTCACAACTCATACCGCCTCCACGCCTCATATATTTGGTAGAAAGAGAGGGTGGATGAAAGTCGTAAAAGGGTTTTTGAAATTTAACATGTAGATTCCACTACACTGATTTCAAACAACCAAATCGGTGATTTCAAACCACCGTAGTCGAAATTGACCTCAAACTGAGAATTCCCATTTTCGACTGCAATCGAAATTTAGTGACTAAAAAATAGGTGGTTTTCAAATCGCTCTTCTGTTTTTATTTTACTCCAATACGTCAGAAATTCTGAACACGCATGTGTGAAGCTTTCTTCTTTCGAAATCTGTGAAGAACATGCGCTTATATAAAAATGTTTAGAAATATCAATTTAAAATCGTTATTAATTTTCCGAAATGGCCGCACAAGATGTGTACACAGCTGAGGAAGCAATTGACCTGATTTTTGATTCAGACAGCGATGAAAGTGAGTTTTTAGATGTGCGAGACTTAGACGTGCCTGATAGCGATGATGACGGTGGGGCTTCAAGCAGTTCCGACGGCGGAGATGTTCTTGATGAAGATGAGCCTAGGCCTAGAAATGTGAGGGTGGTCGTTGCTTTTGAATAGAAAGATCGTGCTTATAGTTATGGATGGTTTGGGAAATAAATTATATAACTGTGTGGAATAGGAATGTTTTATATTTGTTTTTATTTTTTTTTTGGCTATAATTTACTTTTTTTTTGTTTTTGCTGACGATTTGTATGTAGCATTTTTCTGTCATTTCTATTATATTATATATATTATATTATATTATATTATGAATAAAAAATCCTAAAAATATAAATTATACATCAAATGAAAGCTTATTCTATAAGCTTTCTTTGTTTTTAGAAACATTTTTCTGTATAATTTACAGAAAGTTCCCAAAAATCCACCAGAATGACGTATACTCAAAAAACGCAAAAAACCTAGTTACACTGCAAAAGAATCCGGTATTCAAGGGTTTGTACTACAAAAGAATCCGGTATCCAGAGGGTTAATTTGCATACATCACCCTATATAAGAGTTTAAGGTCATGATGTACAGTACAGTATTTGGCTTTTGTTGATAGAAGAGGCTTCGAGGGTTTGTGCATGTGGAAGAATAAGGGAAAACCTAGCTATATAGGCTTTAGAGTACACAGATATATACTAGTTGTTAAAGATAGTTTATTGTGTGTGTGTGTGCGTGTGTGTGTAAAATAAAAATATGTGCAAGTCAAAAACGTATCAGTACTTCCCTGCACATTCCTTATGTTATATCAAGTCAATCTTGTGTATCTGGTTTCTCATGCATGCATTTTGGGTGATGAGATTACATTATATATAATATATATTATATATTATATATATATAAGGACATCACCAAAACATTCCACGACCTGGGACTCCGAATCACCATTACCTGCAACACTAAAGTAGCCAATTTCCTGGACATCACCCTCAACCTCAGCAACGGCAAATACCAGCCATACCGAAAGCCAGACAGATACTTATGTGTAATACGGTGAAAATTACGGAGAGATAGGGTGGAGAGCAATTATTAAATATTTTGAAAACATGACAGACCCTTAAAAACAGGCTTGTATTAATTAGAGATATGCGAGCGTTTTTTAATAATTTTTTAGTTTAACTTAACAATCTTCTTAAGGACATTTATTGAAATTATAACCGTTAAACTTATAACGCTTAATTTTACTTACCTTCTCCAAATTTACGTCATTAATAACTTCTTCTTTTGCAAATTCCAAAATTTCTAATATGAGATTTTGTGGTGCTTTGGCCAGTACTAACGTATGTAATGACGCCACGCCAAGCTACGAAAACAAACCGAATGCAAATTGCTGTGATATGCCGACTACACATAGACAATAAATCCTAATGTTACATAATAGACATTGACTAACAATTTCAATAAGTACTAATGTATTATGATGTTTTAAGATTGTTGGAAAATGTGAAGAAACTTTTCTTTGCATTAGCTAGCATTTATTTTTGTTCACTAATATAAAATGATTTCAAAATTCTAAAAAAAAGGCGTTGATGACTGAAGCCTTAATTTGCATACATCACACTATATAAGAGTTTGAGATGGGAATGCATATGGCTTTAGTTGATAGGAGAGCATTAGTGAACGTGGAGGAATAAGGAAAGACTAAGCTATGTAGGCTAGAAAGTACAGATAATATACCAGTTGTTAAAAACATTTTACATTCTCAATATTGCTACAGTACCTACCTGTATTTTTGTGTGTTCTTATGCCTGTTATATATTTGTTAGAAAGAGGGGGTGGGGTAAATATGTGTTGAATAATAATATACTGTATACAACGATATTCCCTGCTGTTGGATCATTATTTTATCCTTATTTTCAGCAGCTTAATTAATGGATATCGACTTATTAAAATGTCAAATAATTATATCTTCCTTGTAAGGTGTACATCACCCTGAAACTAAAAAGAAAGCACAATCTTTCTTTCACTTCTTGTGCTCTACTAACCAAACCAAGCCTCTGCTATCAAATTAATTCCTTCGCATACAGCTGCTGTAGCCTTATATACGGCGATGTATGCAAAATAGGCTTAAGATTGGACTTCACCCATCACCTTCATTTTCATTGGTCATTCAATTTCTAATTTCCCACCAAAAATGTTTCCCTCAAAATCTATGCAGACCGATAGGTAAGCACTCACTGTGCTGTAATTTGTTGTGTACGAACTCGTATAGGTGTAGGCGGATCGATTTAGGCTAAGCCAAAATTTGTCCAGGCCGGACCAATATTATCCAAGGAGGACCGATTTTAGCCCGGACCACTTTTGGCGTGACAGGCCCACCATTGTCAACTAGTAAAATTTTATGTTATAGAAGGAACATTTGACAAGATTAATTTTACAACACATACCTTTAGCATATACACCATCTATTGGCACATCTTCCTGAGTGACAAAGAACTGACTTTGAAACCTCAATGGAAATGTGTTTACAATTGCAAGTATCTTGTCCTAGAAGGGAAATTATAGAAAGATTTATATCAGGACTGTATAATATCTGTACCAAAAAACATACACACCACACAAACACACATTGTACATGTGTGTAATAGCATACAGTATTCAAGTGGAGCTGATAGTTTTTATCACAACGTGAGACAACTATACAAGGAAATTGGAAACGCGACTGGATTCTATTGTTCTCTAGTTTGTGATGTCTTGTGTTTCATTAATATGCAAATAAGGTTGTTCGAACCGCAAGCGGGCAACTTCCACACACGAGACAAGCGGACATTTTTGTGGCGGTATTGGACGTACAATATAAAAAAAAAAAAAAAACTTTTACTTTGGCAATTTCTTTGAAAGGCAAGATACATAAACACATATATTGCAGTTTAAATGTCTGAAATTTATGGCATGCATGCATAAAACTACAGTACAATAGCAACCCCTACCCTCAGCCATCCAAGGCTAGGTCTAACCGGGTCCCGACACTCGGTAAAATGCCTGAATTGAAGAAACACACTAAATCTATAGTACAGGTTTACACACATTTATAAGCACATATATGTTCTGAAATCTTTTACCACAACAGAAAAGGTATTTTTTTGTGTACCTATTAAGTCATGTTCAGAATCAGAGAATATGTACAACCGTACTAGCGTGAATAAGCGCCCTGTTACTGCTTTTTGAGCAATTGAATGTTGGAAACATCAGCTATTAAAATACACTTTTCTTTAATATTCATGAACCATTAGTCATTGACAGGTTATATAGCGAAAGATTAGCTAAACCTGTTTGTACCTATATTAAATATCTTTTTGGATTACATGATTATAAATATGAAATACTGCCTTAAAGTATGCCCTAGTTTAGGCCTACAGTGTGGCCTAGCCATTACATAGGCCTAGGGGCAATCGCACTGGACTGAAATGCTGGATTACCGAAATGAGCAGGTTCCATATACAGTAATATGGTGTGAAAAAAATATCTGCTTGACAACGTAAATTCCTGAAAAATTCTCATTATAGTAAATTATCTACTTGTACATGAGCTGGAAAATGCACCAGTTGTCACTATAACAAATTACCAACTGCTAGGCCATAGTAAAATTATGTGCAAAAAAAAATTATTCTGTCAAGATTGGTTCATAAAGACTCTTAATGTATTAAATAGAAAATATTAACAGCCAACTATATTATATCAAGGTGCTCTCAATTGTCAAAGCCCATTTAAGTCAGTCTCAATAATAATAGCTGAATAATAATTGCTAATATTCTTCTCTCTCATAAATGGAGAATTTATTTAGGTATAGGCCTTTGACCCTTATACAAATATAATATATACACCACACTTTATGATACTATAAAATATTGTAGATATAATATCATTAATACTGTAAATGAAAAAAACACCCAAAATGACTTACATGAAAAATCAATTCTTTCTGTGTTGAAGCACTGTAAAGTAGCCTAAAGGATCTGCCTGTAAACCATGGTTTGTGTGCCCTATGTGTACTCTCTGCATGCCTCAAGATCGACAGAAGTGGGTTGATGCCTATGCCACCAGCTATTAATAAAATATTGTAACTTGGATCATTTGGTTGAGGGTCATACACCATCTGCGTTCCTCCGACACGAAGAGATACCTTACTTCCAACTTTGCACTAGGAAAAAAAATGTTTGTAAAAATTTGTTTGTCAAAAATATTCATAAGACAATATTCTTTGTAAATAACCTTTATTGCATGTATTTTGTTATAATGAAGTTCCTTTATCTCTAGCTTAAATTAAATCAGGATGGGGACATATGTTTTTCTCAAATATTTATCATCTTTAAACAACACCAGTGGAGGTGTATATCCATACCGTAGTTACTTTCATGTGATTTGCTATTATTTGTTGAGTATTACGCAATACCTTGAGAAAATACGTGTCCTAATAGGAAAACCCAAGTGTGTATACTACTTGGCCTCATAGCTCAATTGGTAGTGTATCCAAACAGTAATTGGAAGGTCTAAAGTTCATCCAACTTTATATGGCACCGATTCCAAAAAAAATCAAAGGTGCAACGCATGTGCATAGCTACCAGAAAACAAATCTTAAAAGGGAACTAGAAAGATGATATTTTTTTTCTAGAGGGGATTTTTGATAAATCATTAGTATTTTTAATAGTATTATAGAATCAACTTTAAATCATTTCTTGGCAATTTTTTATGAAGCTATAGGCCACTTTGATTTAGCAGTGTGATGTCAGTGTAAGCTCCTGTAACCAAAAATCGCTATATGATCTTTGGTTACAGTAGCTTACACCGATGTCATGCTGCTATAGGGCCAAAATTGCAATGGCCTTCAACTTCATAAAAAATTGCAAAATAAACAATTTTAAAGTTGATTCTATTACTAGCAACATATCAAAAATCCCCTCTAGAAAAAAAAAAATCTTTCTAGTTCCCTTTTAAGTCTGAAGCTGTGACTTAAATTTGCAAAGAGAGTTAGAAGAAGTTATGTTATTTGAAAGCTGGTTCCAAAAAAACAACTATATAATAATTTGCCAGAATATATATATTACACCAGTTTACCTCCAATTAATATTACGTGAATATTAAATCATCTATTAACTCTGTCTCTTATACACATCTAGATGTGTATAAGAGACAGAACCAAGCCTCTGCTATCAAATTAATTCTAGTGTAGTAATTGAAAAGGTATTGAAGATATTGAGTAGCCTCCCACTGTTTGCACCATTGGATCATGTATAAAGAAATCCACCCTGGAAAATAAAGAGCAAAATTTCAATAGGAATTTTTATGCATTACCTCTTCATGAACCCAGAGGGTGGGAGGATAGTCACTTAACTGAACAGCAAGCTCAAGGTAGCCTGACTGAAGATGATCAGGTGATGAAGACATGGAGAAGCCAGTGAATATTTCAACACCTGGAATGAAGAAATCTACCCTACAAAGTAGAATTTAATGATTAAATTACAGTACAGGTACATATAAATAATAATCAAGAGGCTGACCCAGTGTTTTACAATAGAGGGAGTGCAATGGGGTAAAAAGTGGTGAAGCTGATATACCAGAGTTTGTATTATGTTTTTTGACATGTTGTTGTTGAGGCATAGTGGCACAACCAAACAAACAAATGATACTTTTTTAAACATGTTTTTAAAAATAATTTTAACAAAATTTTTTTTTAATACAGTACACTGTATATATAAATCATGTCGTATGTTGTTAGGGCACATAATAGATGAGCTTACTAATACCTGTTCGTGCCCTTCCACTTACTGGTAGTGGTGTACCGTATATACAGATGCAGTGTTTTGTAAAAATATAAATAATATAGAAATTTATAACAAGAGGTATGCAAGGCAATAGGAAAAAAACAGCACTTGATTACATTTTTAATGAAAAATAACAGAAGAGGGAGAGCTTTGACCATTGATCTTTTATCATTAGTCCGAATACACAAAAAAATAACAATTAGTCATTTCACTTACCACTGGCCAGCTTTGAAATTAAATGCTGGGTCATCTATATTTAGTAGAATTCGCTTAACTGTTGGCGACATATCGTTAACTTCAACCACTTCTGCTTCCGATGCCTTTTGCTAAAAAAAATATATTAATATCATTTTGATGCTTAAAGCTCTATCCACACCATCAAATTGTATGCATATATGGGTGACAACATCTAGTCATTATGGGAAATTAACAAATAACTCAAATTTGTGTCATATAAAACATACATACTGTGGACAGAACATATTATATAAATTGATGATATTTGGATTTTTACAACAAAACAATGAAATGTAAAAAAAAATAAATGCTTTTTCTGACCTTCTGCCTTGCTTCGTGGGCAGTCTTCTCCAGGTGATTGCCTCCTTGTCTACTAACACTCATTGCTCTTGTCAAAGCCCTTGTGTAGCAAACAAAAGTGGTAATAATGTGTAGTATGCATGATATTATTAATAAAAGATGTGTGTGTTGTCCTAAATATTGTTAGTGTATTTATGAAATGATCATTACTTAGGCTTATTTATTAAATTCAATTTAGCACACATAGAAAAAAATCATTAGATTATCACTCTTCTTTTTTTTTTTTAATTGATGAGGGTAAGAGAATTTCTTTTTTTTTTTTAGTGGGTTTGTGGGGTGTGGAGATGGGATTGTACCCGGGTATTCCCGTGTGCATGGACAGAATAAACATGATATCGTTTCTGAAGTGGCAGATGCATTTAAACAAACTGCCCTGTGATTCAATGGCCTATCCAAAACTAGGCCTATATTCCGGTGAAAAAAATCAGACATTACTCGAACATCAAAGGGAAGGGAACACCCTAATTATAGTTATATAGTAGGCATAGGCGCCTAGGCTTTGGTCTTTACTTCGAGTCGGGCCAGACTTTGCCTAAACTTACTTTCTTGATGTCGTAGGTTAGTTTTTTAGGAACAGACCGCGGTGTTGTCTATCAGAGTTTGAAGTCTGCCCAATTCGGAGCCAATTCCTTTATATTTTGTGAGCATTTAAATTGAAAAAAAATGAAAAAATTATTACTATATTTCCAAAAATTTTTGCCACGGACGGGAGCGATAAATCTAATACATTTTTCTATTTGCCCTTAACATCAATTTGTTCTAAAATATTCAAAATCTGGCCTTCACTCATTCACAATTTTTTTTTTGTTACTGTGAATTTACTGAATCACTTTCTTTATTACTTTCGATGCTGGTTACACTAAAACATGCTTCGAAGTACAGTAGGTTTAAACTCTTTAAAATTGGGCCTGATAGTCTTGAAATGGGGACCAATCCTCCTGGGCCTGATCGTCTGTAATTCACCAGGCTAGGCAGACCTAGATAGGCTATCTAAGCCAATGTAGGCCCATGGAGGTATCATTGAGAAGGCGATCACTTGGCAACAGTTCCCTTTGATGCGAAAAACCAATGTGTTCCCCGCCTTTGGATAGCACAGGTGTATTAATACCTTATTATTAACATTTTTTAGTTAGCAACAACTTGGCAACGACATGGTTTTATACGCTTCAACACAGCAGTTGTGCGATAAACCATTTGATTTTAACTCATTAGATTTCTTTAAATGCTTCAACACAAGGTTTTTTTTCAACAAAAAAGATAATTTTATAAAACAGGTTGCTGCAGTGTTTCCGCGCTTGCTAGCACGACGAGCTGTACATACAGAAATTGCTAGAATGTCCAAGTCAATTCTTAAATTAACATTTTTAAAACAATTAAAGGCCAGTCTTATAATTTGAATCTTAATTTTCCCATGAAACATCCATCAACAAAATGTGGCATCATTACGTGGTACCTTTCAAAAACTTTCTTGTCGAAATCAAGGTTAATTGAACCGAATGCTTACGAGGGAATGCCCCGTCCTCCTGTCGGGGAGAAAAACAACAGTTCGTTGGGAGGGAAAAAAAATTATATGCTATTTTCTACATATTAGTAGACACTAAAATTGATTAAATAAGCCCTCGAAAGCAATGTATTCGATGCTCGAAATACGCAGAACTGTGTGTGTGTACCATCAAAGATGGCTGCCATAGATTTAGCCAATCAAATTTCGCTAAGCACCATCGTTTGCAATTGCGCCCCTCAATTTACTCAGAAAGTTCAGTACAGCTATTTACCCGTATGTTTGAAACGTGTATTTTGTACACAATTTTAATTTTCATTCCTTTATTTTTGAATAAGATGTTCCACTTTGCCTCATTTTGGCTACAATAGTTTAATAATTTGTTATTACCATTACTCATTATCATTAATGAAATAATAGTCAGTCAGGAGGCTTATTAATATGTAATAATATGTATACTAAGCCTGAAGGTGGCGCTTTACTATGACGGCCATCTTTTAATAGCTCTATGCTCAAAACCCATAAAGCTATTAAACAACTAGAGTGCTGACAAGATGGCAAAGCAATGCAGAGTTATGTTCTAAATTCTTCAAAAAAAAAAAAAAAAAAAAAAAAATGCTTCTACTTTCATAGTTTGATATTATCATATTTGTTAGAAAAATAAATTGTTTGCATTCATTACAGAATGTTGAAATGATCAAAAAATATTTATGAATAATGCTGCATTTGTAGAACTTGGTGTGAATGTTGTTATTTGTCCTTTTTGCACCCGAAAACAGATTTACCGTGCTACTGTACAACAGTCACCTCTCTCAATTCAGTGCATTACAGAAGCGCTCAAGACTCATCATCACTGGAGAATGAATAACAACATTAACAAGGTCATGTTTATGGTAAATATATTTCATTTTATTCAATTGATCATTCACAACACAAGGCTAAAAGGGTTTTTTTTCAAAACCATATTTTCATTTTACACGTTGTGTTCAATATAATTATTTTATAATTAATTTTCAATTAGCATAACAATTTCAAGTTAATATATTTAGTTTATTTAATTGTTTAAACACATGCATATTACAACACATTTATTCATGCATATATGAGCTATTAGACCATGGGTCTGAACTATTTCTTAAACTCTTAAAGGAAACTACACAAATAAAAATGATTTATTAATTTTGAATGGGCAAATTTAAACACGTTCGAATTGAAAAAAAATAATTTCCATCCCTGAATTTTAACCACTTTCCAACCCTCCTAATTTATTTTTTGTTTAACTACATGCATACAAATTGCAAATGCATACTTTCAAATTGTAACCTTCCCCTTCTCCCTCCCAATTATTTAATTGTTTAAACACATGCACTCATGAACTTTCAGACCATGTGCCTATTTCAAACTCTTGAAGGCAACTGCACTTTAGGGACATCAATGTTTATCGATTTTGAAAAATTACAATTTTTGTCATCTTATGGCGAATTGATGCTTCTGATATATGTACAATTACACGATTATAGAATTTAGTATATGTTTGAAACTTATTTTATTATTTGCATAATGTGACTGTCCTCAAACCCTGGGTTATTGGATTTGCTGCAGTTACCTGATTCAAGAGTTGGAAATAATTTAGGGCCATGGTCTGACAACTCATGGATGCATTCAATGATCATTTTGATGCATATGCCTGCCTTTGTGTTGATTTTGTTAGGTGTTTGTAAAACATGTAAGTTAAAGATTTTCTCGCATGTTTTTATGATATGATTTCAAAGACCCCATTGCTAGCAAAAGTTAGCCCCCCCCCCATTATTTTTACGTTGAGTAAATTTCTGAAATGGATGTTTGATTACTGTATAACAGTGGTCATCATGTGTATTATGTGATTGAATGATTGCGTTGACAGAATTTGGACAATTGATTGAATCCTTGATTTTACGGCATACAAACCCAGATATGTAATATAGAATGTTGTCACGATATGGGTTGGATGAACATGGTAAGTCCATGTCGTCCATATCATTCGCACTTGAATTATCATTGTTTTCAGGAATGTCAATATCTTTCAAAGGGGAGCTTCGTTTGGACATGGGTGTTTGAGCAACAGTTTCAAATTGCAGACAATTTGATTTTAGTGATGCTTTTACAGAGTTGTTGAATAGCATACTGTGTAATGATGGAATTGGGATTGTTATTCCAGCCATTTCTTGCACGTATACAAGAAAAGAGTACTTCAACGTGATAATTAAGGGGATTGATTGGCCGTGTTAGTAGTCCTTTTGATAGTGAAATGGTGGATTTTATTGATATTGCTAATCTTATGAACCCTGTTTTTCTTCTTGAAGTAATTAACTTTTCCCATTTACTTGTTCGGTGTTTAGTAGCATTGATGCACACTCTATAAGGGACTGTTCACATAGTTTAACATTTGATTGTTTTATCGGGGATTTATATCCACATGCTCTTGGGTTTCGGGAATTTAGGATGTCAAAGGTTTTATCTATGATTCTTATAAATTTAATTGTGCCCTCACTTCCAGAAAATTCCTTGTTCGATAGGTCATCACCTAAGGAATTCCAGCACATTAGCTACTGAGGAGCTTAGAGTTTGGGCAGCAAGTTTTACATTCATTTTGTGTTCTTTCCATTTAATGTGATTTGAATTTAATTTATTTGCCAGATAAAGACCCTCCTTTTCTTGTACTGTAATATATTTAATGTTTCGAAATATTTCCATTTCACTGTTGTCTTTCCGTTTACTGATGACTTGCAGGGAATCACAAACTCCTTCCACTCAGCTCTGAAATTTTAAACAAAATATGAAAATAAATACTGTATGAAGTTTGAGGCATTCTTAACATGTATATTTTTTAATTGGAAAAGTAAATTACTGTATTACTTAATTTATTTCTTTACATACAGATTCGAGATGAGCAAACATTCAACTTACAGTGTGTTTCGTAGAAGCTTCAACATATGGCAGACATCAAATATCACATGAACATCATAGCTGCAAGTTGGGTGAGGGAATGTTGTTATAATTGATTCATATGTTTGACCAAAGTTACAACCAAGAAACTTAGCTGCTTCCTGATTATAAACATATGTTCCATCCCAAACTACGCTCCAAGTTGTTAGACCAGTATCGGCAAGTAGACTTAAAGCAGTTTTGACGAGTTGGGAGAGAACACAGCCAGAAATCTTGTTGCATAAAAAATATCCTATAACTGATTTCCATGAACGTCCTGTTAAACCCACAACCATGAATACTAGTGACTCGGTAGCTAATTCTTCAGAGGATTCTACGTTAGAATTTCCGTAATTTACAAAGCCACTATATTGTTGATTTTTTGCATCCCATAATGACTGTTTCCTAATGTGTCCTACAGTTCCTACCATCAATAATGAGTGTTACATAGTTGCAGATTTCCCTATTTGTCACTTTCATTTTAAGTTGCTCAATTACTTCGGAAAGAAAACCAGACAGTCAACTGAGCAGCACCAGTTTCTGATAGATGATGAGTGAGGAAGGTGCAGGATCTTGCATACATAATCATAAGCTTTTGGGGATTGATAATGTAATGTTACGGCAAACTGCTTTGCAGTGTCATAATAGTGTTTTCCTTTGGGATTGAGTTTGTGATTTCTTGACATGTTTTTATCAGCTCCAGTGTAAGTCCTGTGAACTCTTGCTCAATTATGTTGCTTACATCTTCATCAATTTTGTTTTTTTTCCCTTAATTGCTGAAGAAGAGCTGATATTGACTTGATTTTTAAAATTTTTTCTCCACACCTTGCTTTTTTTTTTATTGTTTTGACTTCTAACTTTAAGGCATTTATTCTTTCTTCTTTTGAAACTTTTAAGTAATATGGGTGATCAAATTTTGCTATTCTAGCAATTTTACTGGAACTGTCTATAGTATCTGAATTAAATTTTTCGTTTTCTTGTCAATGCAATTTGTTCAAAAAATGTTAGATTATTATTTTTACCACAGTTTTCGAACACAGTGGGAATAACACTTGCTTTAAGTCGTCTTTTTTGGTCTGGTGACTGTTGAATTTAAGTCATTATCATTAAAATGCAGAGAGCAAACAAACTGGTGTTTAGACGGGTCTGAATTTTCGTCGCTTTGAAAAAAATTTTTATCAATATTTTCCTGTGTCAATAGAAATCTGTTGAAAAATAAATAAAGTTATTTGCATTGTTATAAATGAATAATAAAAATAAATCAGTGGGAAATCTACCAATAGGTAAATAAAAATTATATATAGCCCTAAATGGATAAAGTATTCATATTTAAAATAATTTCATAAAATAAATTTTGAAAAATGTAATTCCTCGTGTTTTTGTTTTTGTTTTTATTTTTGGTTCTATGTTCTATGCAAGTAAAAGGAGCAATGCAAAAATGGATAAATTAATACTATTATGAAACTCCCCATATTATAGAAATATAGCCTATCTTTTAACTACTCTACGGTATAATAAAAATAAAATAAAGTGAATTTTAATTTTTTTATAGGCTACTAGACATTGTCATAAACCTTGCTAGTTGATAACACTATAATGAATATTAAAATACCAACTAACATTAGGCATAACACCATACAATTGAAAAATAATATTGTAATAATTATTTTTAACCTACAATTTTAAACTGAGGAATTACTGTATTTATATTTGTATATTTTTGTTGTTTGTATGTTTAACTGTCAAGGCTAAATGAGTTTTCCCATTGTGGGATAATAAAGTTTTATTGAATTGTAGAATAGAAGTATTTTATTTATTTTTTTTCATAGAAAATATTTTAAGTTAAAACTTTATTTGCTTGGGAAAAAAATAAGGTAGGCTATGTAAATAAGCTGCTGTAACTTACAAAGAAATTTATTTTTATTTTGGAATGAAATATAACTTGAATATAATTGAAAAAAAAAACATACCTATGATAAGAAATCTTAATACCAGATTGATCTTCATACAAATGCTGTGTACTTGTTGTTAACTGCACAACGGCGTACCATAATATTTTATCACTCTACATTGTCATTTTTTGTAATGTATTACTGGTGCAAATTAATTGAAGAAATAAACGTTAGTATGTACGTTACCCATGACCGTCACACCGGGCGTACTTTGGAATCTTTCATACAAGACTGAGGGCGCAATTCAAGATTATGCCTAAGTGAATTTTGATTGGCTGAATCTACGGCAGCCATCATGGATGGTACACACACACAGCTCTGCGTTTTAGGAACGTCAAATGCATTGCTGTTACTAAAGGAACACAGCCCGGCTTGAGATAAGCCACCTAGTTAGACTGAAATTTTATTCTTCATTTCAATTCATTAATTTTAGCGATGTTATGGTGTATTGTAGTTCATGAGACTCACTTCGCAGAACAAATTAATAAATTTTCTCTATCTACTCAAATGTTCGTTTTGTGCACCTTAGTCCCAAAAAAAAAAAATAAAAAAATCAGATGCAACAGACATTGCGAAGTACCCAAAATTAATAAAATAAAAACTAACACCATAAAACGCTGTACTCGCGACTAGTATCGGATTGTCGATACCACAGTTAAGATCAAAGGACTGTACGCACGCGCTATGTTCAAGAGGGGAGATGTGCGTCCTTCTGTTCAATTACCTTGATGGAACTTGATATGTAGAACAACGACCATCCGGCGCCCCATGTGACAAGTGTATAATGATTGATAGTGTCCTGTACTTTTTCTTTTCCTGCACCCAGATGGAACGATCGCGCTTTGTTTCGGTCGGGCCTCATTTTGGTCGCGGTTTATTTCGAACATGGAGCACCGAAGAAGTTGCGAAAAACGCAAAATTTAATATGCCTAGGCCCTATATATATTAATTATAATTAGTTCATCAAGCGGTTTATCAAGTATTTTTTTATTTCTGTTTTGCTATCTTTCTACTAACAACAACATTTTATCTTTCTACAGTACTAACATATTCTCTTTCTTCCATTTACGGTGATATATTCATTATTGATTGAAACATGATCTTATGATTGAAACAATGGAATTTAGTATGTGCTTCATGCTATACTTTTTGTTGCATTTTCATATAGGCCTAGGCCTACTATAATTATGGTTAATAAAATGTATCTTTCATTTTAATTGAATATTGTTACCATCTGAAATCTATTTCATAATTTGAAATGAAGCGCGACCGAAATGATCTGTATTCGTACAATAGAGTACTTTACAGCCTACCGGCCTACTACTACTACAACTCTAGGCCTAGAGGAGCTAGGGCTCTAGGCCTACGCCTGAATACTACTACTAGCTAGGCCTACTACTATTACTAGGCCTAGCCTAGGCCTAAATAAATGATTTAGGCCTAGGCCTATGCGTACCTTTTCCCTTGTAAATGCCTCAGAAACATGCGTATAGTTGATTTAGAATGTCATTCAAGCCGTCTTACATTTAAAAAATGAATTCAAAAATTCTTATATCAATTAAAACAGAATTATGCTAAAGGACGACAAGAACACCAACAAAGTTCAAAATAGAAATACACGAGGGCTGAGTCTAGACTCAGACCATAGGTGGTACGTACAAAGAGTATAAATAGAACAAGAGAGCAAAGTCCCGTTCGTAAAAACGTCATGCCTGTGTAGGACGCCAACTAACGGTTGTATATTCTTTTTATTACCATAGAGCTATTAAACAACTAGAGTGCTGACAAGATGGCGCAGCAATGCAGAGTTATGTATGTGTACCATCCAAGATGGCCGTCGTAGTAAAGCGCCACCTTCAGGCTTAGTATACATATTATTCCC